TTATTATTATACAGGATTTATATAGCACCAACAGTTTGCGCAGCGTTTTACAAAATGAAGGTAAACATTACAGTTCCAATACAATTTGGTACAAGAGGAAACAGAGGGCCCTGTTCAATAGAGCTTACAATCTAGGAGACATTGCATGAGAGATTACATGTGTCCGCGATTAATTTATTTCAAACTATTCATGGGGTTCTTGCGTCCAGTTGGTGGAGGCAGGGTGCATTCACGTGTGTCTGTACCATTAAAGCGGAACTGCACTGCAGCTGAGCACCACAACCCAAAAATGCTATTTAATTTTTAAATTCAAAGCAACATTCATCCATCCATCCATGTCTCCATGCTTTTATTTTGCTGAGAAATCATTTTGAAAAACACTCTCCTAGTATTTCTGACCGTGGCCATCTTGAGTAAGGGCAAATTATTCATGTAGCATTTACTTCCTGGAATTAATCTGCCCTTAGCTCAGGCATGCAGGCAGGGGAGTGTGCATAGCTGAGAAAACCCCTACTGAAGACTCCTGGGATGTACAACACCATTTGCCTAGGCATGGAAGCCAGGAAGTGACTTAAAAATGTCAAAAAAAAAGTAAATATGGTATACGTTCCTATGTATTTATCAATGCTAGCAGAATAAAGATTAAAAATAGTCAGTAGTGATTGAGAGAGTGAAGGTCTGCTTTAAGCTGACTGTATGTTAATCGACGCAGATGTGAACAGAGGCCATTGAAATGAAAGGGATTTTTTCAGTGTGCCCTTAATGCTGAGCATATTGCGCATGCGCAGTGACGTCATGGGCTTGAGCCGATGTGAATATCTCCCAAGTGGTGCAAGTTTAGGGGATATTCACGTTATCTGCAGGTAAGGATTATGATAAGTTTACTTCTAGGTACAAGTTTGAAATCTGAGTTCACCATTAACTTTAAATCTAAATAAGACCACATATGGGGGGCCGATTTCAGGAAGGTGTTTTCAGCACATTTCTGGTGATGTGTGTGTATGTAGTCGGCAGCCTTCTGCCAAATTCACTAGAACCTTGTTAGTACCAACAATCAACAAATGTAAGTAGTTCTTATTTGCAATGGTTTTCCTAAATGGCGCTACTGTTGTGACAAATAAAGAAACACCGCCATATCAGTGATGAGGAAAGTGGAGATAAATAAGACCTCTTCCATCATGTGGGAGTAAATTGTTGATTGTCAAATGTGAAATTATGGTAACATTTTTGAGACCATTCTGTGACATAATTTGTCTTCAGGTTCCTATGGAACTGATATTTCTTACCTTTCCATTACTGTCTTTTCGCCAAATCTCTTTCCTGCCTGTAAAACTATCACTTTTACAGGTGAGAGTTGTGTGATCTTGTAGCTACACTTACTTGGATTCTTTTATTCTTGACTTTTTATTCTTAGTTTGGTCTATTCTGGTCAGGATGCATTTGATGCCGTTCTGTACAACAGGTACATTGCACGTTGAGTCCAAAACAATATTCCTTTACTTAAATAGCCACCAGGAACACATTTGTGGCTGACGCGTTTCGTATTAGGCACGGTGCTTCACTTGAAACATGTTAGAATTAATTGCTCTTGCTGGCTATTGAAAAAAAATCTATCATTTTGCATCTTGGTGTTCCTGTTGACAGTAGAACTGATTGCTTTGGTGGAGAAGAGCCAATCCAGAACCTGAGAATGGAACTATGGAGGGTGGAGTCAATCAGCTGGACCTACATGTGGAATGCTTAGGTATCTGTCCATGGTTCTGCTGTTTATCTGGAGTGTTATGGCATGCTGTGAGTCAGTGGTGGGTGTCACTGGGGCATTAGTTTAATGTTTTATATAGATAAGACAGGATATGACAAAATAATAAAAAGCATGCAGTTTTGAATTGAATGTGTCAAATTTTATAGATGAATGTCACCAGAAAATCTATCTCTAGCGCTGGAATTAGTCCTTTTTCATAAGACAAGTGATCTGGTCATGTTATTCATCCTCTCTAACCACTTGAGCCCTGGACACTGTTAAAATGGTTCTGCAGATACATGTGAATGTCCTGACAAATGACAGGTGCTGGAACTTCTAGCTGTCGGGAGCTGCTGCAGCCTGGAATCAAGACCAAGTGCTGATTGTAATATCTGCTGGGCTTGTGATCCTGCTATAGGGTGCTTAAGAAGATTGCTCTATAGCAGGTATAGCACAAAGCTTCCACTTGAAAATCCATTCCTCATCTTTAATCCAACTTTCAGCTTGGAAATAAAACATAAAGTGCCACCCCCGAAATGTCTACCCACCCAATTTCCATTGCTGTCCCCACCACTCCTCTTCTGGGTCAAAAGACGCCTAGCGCCATTCAAACCCGCCGCCTGTGTTAACAGAACGTCATTGCAAGGCACCACTTCCTGCAGCATTCAAGATTTGCATCACCAGAGGAAGAGTGAGGAGGACATGTGAACCTTTCTTGGGTTGGGGGTGAGGGGCTTTCAACCACAATATTGGGCTTTAAATAGGGCAACCTCAGGTCAGCGGTCTCTGTTAGCATATCATGTTCTCTTTCACACAAATCTGGAAGACTTGACCACTTTATGAGCCAATGAGGCTTCCATTGCATTGCATAGTCCTGTAAGTCTCACATGCTTTAGGACACTTGAGCTTATGTTACTTACTGTTGGGGGGGTAATGTTGAATAAAGACACCAGTTCGTCCAGTTCAGCCTCGGTGGGTGTGTATGTATATATGTCTCGACCAGGGGCGGACTGACAACTCATGGGGCCCCCGGGCAATAGGGGATCATGGGACCTCTGTGTCCTTGCCCAAACTCAAAAAAGCCTATGAAAAAGGTACCAGGGCATCTCATGGGGCCCCCTACTGACCTCGGGTAGTGCCTGAATTTCCAAATGGTCAGTCCGCCTCTGGTCTCGACCATATCCCTTTTATATTATGTTCACCAAGATACCCAACCAGCAGCTTTTTGAACTTAACACTCTTCGCTGACACCTCCAGTTGTGGAAAGGAGTTCTACATCTTTACCCCTTTACAGTAAAGAATCCCCTATGCAGTTTGTGAAGCCACTTCTCATCCAACATCATGGAATGGCCCTGTGTCTTCTTAAATGACCTGAGACCGTGTAGTCTTCTCTGTTAGGACCACCATTTAGATATTTGTATATGGTCATCATGTCACCTCTTCTCCAGGAAGAATTAATGTACTGTATATAGTCGTTCCTCATAACTGAGGTCCTCCAGCCTTCTTATCAGAACTGACTAGACCTGGATGGAGTGTTCAAGACACTAGTTGAGCTGTGTGGTTTTTTTTACCACCTTCTAACCGCTCCCCTGTAGCTGCTTGGGAGTTTACACATGTCGTGGCACAAACTATTGGAGACTTCACTGCCGCCAAGATCTGCGGTGGATCTCTTTTCAGAGGAAGTTTGACAAGCAGTGGGGAGGCAATAAGTCTCCACACTGCCTGTCAAACATGCTGTGAAAAACAGTTCAGTTTTTCTGCATTTTTGCATTAGCATTTGGCTGCGTTTTTGTACATCAGCAGTTTTTAGCACGAAAAAAACCTTTTGGCTTAAAAACACCAGTTTGCCTCATTTTATTGCATTTACCAGCATTTTTACTGATAAACTCCTCCTTGAAACCCAGTGCCCCTGCCAAGAAATGCTGATTAAAGCCTGTGTGTGCATGGACACATAGATAACATGCTGGGGAGTTTACTGGCTGTAGAAAACCCCCCCCGTCAGAAGCCAAAAATAGCCGCTGTAAAAACACCTAATGCATGTTAAAAAAAAAAAAAAAAAAAAAAAAAAAAAAAATTTCCAAGATATACATTGTAGTTCTCTTTAAAAACAGAGAGTTTGATCTTTATCATTTCCCTTTGAAGAAGCCATCGTTTTCTATATATAAATTGAGGAGCGTTCCCGTCCATTGGTTTTCCTTGCTGCGATGAGCGTCTCCTGGTAGGTTTAGTGGTTCTTTGTGAAAATCTGAGAATCTTGATCTTCTTTTGACATGTAATAGTCTGACTGGAGGTTGTCTTGAAAGATACCTTTTAATAAGCCTCTCCCAGAATAGAAGAGCAGGGCCGGATATGGAGGCCGTCCAGCTGCAGCCAGATCCCTGTTACATTTTCAATAGCGACATTATTACATTATGAATTGCCGTTTCCTGCTTTGTATCACATTGTCCAGTTCACTGCTTCCAGAGACACCAGCTTTCCTAGCTTAAAGGTCCACTGCACCTGAAACACTAGATTCCTTTCAAAGGGGAGAAACCAAGACGTGTGTATATAATATTTGATATATATGTACAGTGCCTTGAGAAAGTATTCATACCCCTTGAAACTTTCCACATTTTGTCATGTTACAACCAAAAACGTAAATGTATTTTATTGGAATTTTATGTCATTGATCAACACAAAGTGGCACATAATTGTGAAGTGGAAGGAAAATGATAAAGGGTTTTAAAAGTTTTTTACAAATATGTGAAAAGTATGGCGTGCATTTGTATTCGGCCCCCCGGAGTCAGTACTTTGGACCCCATTTCACTGCATTTATAGCTGCAAGTCTTTTTGGGGATGTCTCTACCAGCTTTGCACATCTAGAGAGGGACATTTATGCCCATTCTTCTGTGAAAAATAGCTCAAACTCTGTCAGATTGGAAGGAGAGCATCTGTGAACAGCAATTTTCAACTTTCCACAGATTTTCAATTAGATTTAGGGCTGGACTTTGGGCCATTCTAACACATGAATATGCTTTGATCTAAGCTCTGGCTGTATGTTTAGGGTCATTGTCCTGCTGGAAGGTGAACCTCCGCCCCAGTCTCCAGCCTTTTGCAGACTCTGACAGGTTTTCTTCTAAGATTGCCCTGTATTTGACTCTTGATTCCTATCAACTCTGACCAGCTTCCCTGTCCCTGCTGAAGAAAAGCATCCCAACATGATGCTGCCACCACCATGTTTCACGGTGGGGATGGTGTGTACCGTTCATTTTATGCCACATATGGCGTTTTGCTTTTAGGCCAAACAGTTCAATTTTGGTCTCATCTGACTGGAGCACCTTCTTCCAGATGTTTGCTGTGTCCCCCACATGGCTTCTCACAAACTGCAAATGGGACCAGGGGTGGACTGACAACTCATGGGGCCCCCGGGAATAGGGGATCATGGGGCCGCTATGTCCTTGTCCAAACTCAAAGCCTATGAAAAAGGTACCAGGGGCATCTCATGGGGCCCCCTACTGACCCCGGGCCCTCGGGCAGTGCCCGAGTTTCCAATTGGTCAGTCCGCCCCTGAACGAGAGACTTCTTATGGCTTTCTTTCAACAATGGCTTTCTTCTTGTCCCTCTTCCATCCATAAAACCAAATTTGTGGAGTGCACGAATAATAGTTGTCCTGTGGACAGATTCTCCCACCTGAGCTGTGGATCTCTGTAGCTCCTCCAGAGTTACCATGGGCCACTTGGCTGCTTTTCTGATTAATGCTTGCATTGCCCGGCCTGTCAGTTTAGGCGGACGGTCATGTCTAGGTAGGTTTGCAGTTGTGCCATACTCCCATTTTCAGATGATGAATTGAGCAGTGCTCCGTGAGATGTTCAAAGCTTGGGATTTTTTTTATAACCGAACAATGCTTTGACCCTCTCCACAACTTTATCCCTGACCTGTCTGGTGTGTTCCTCGGCCTTCACGATGCAGTTTGTTCACTAATGTTCTCTGAGGGCTTCACAGAACAGATATATTTATACTGAGATTAAATAACACACAGGTGGACTCTTTACTAATTAGGTGACTTCTAAAGGCAATTGGTTCCACTAGATTTTAGTTAGGGGTATCAGAGTAAAGGGGGCTGAAAACAAATACAGGCCACAATTTCAGATATTTATTTGTAAAAAAGTTTGAAAACCATTTCTCATTTTCCTTCCACTTCACAATTATGTGCCACTTTGTGTTGATCAATCACATAAAATTCCAATAAAATACATTTACGTTTTTGGTTGTAACATGACAAAATGTGGAAAATTTCAAGGGGTATGAATACTTTTTCAAGGCACTGTGTGTTTGTATGTAATTTATTAGGATACCAACGGTCCCCTCTGTATAAATGCTAAGAAGACACTGTGGAGTCCTTGACCAGGACCCAATAACTGGGACTTACCCACCAGTTTTCTGGAATTGTGTCAATGTCGCCACAAGCATAGAAGCAGCTGGCCTGATATTGTGGAACAACATTTGCTATTCGTGTCGTCATGTTTACACCTGATCGGATGTCTTAATTATATTAGTGGAACAAAGAGCCCTGGTGCCCACCCTGTAGTGACTGTGTGACCTTCAGGGCCCTTGAAGATAGTAGTCTCTTTCGATCCTTGAGCCAATAAAGAAAAATATACTTTAGAATGGCTTCTTGTAGGGAACTGGTGTAATTCATTTATTTTTTTTTTTAAATATCCTAAATTTTTTCTGTGTCATTCCTTTTTTTCCCTGTCTATGATTGTCTCCTGACGTCCCCAATCTCCAACAGCTCCTAAAGCATATAAATAGTCTCTGGTCATCTCCTGTAGCATGTCTGCAGTCTCCGACCAGCCCTTGTAGCATGTCCATAGTCTCTGACCATCCATTGTAGCACGTCCATAGTCTCTGACCATCCCTTGTAGCATGTCCATAGTCTCTGACCATCCCTTGTAGCATGTCCATAGTCTTTGACCATCCCTTGTAGCATGTCCATAGTCTCTGACCATCCCTTGTAGCATGTCCATAGTCTCTGACCATCCCTTGTAGCATGTCCATAGTCTCTGACCATCCCTTGTAGCACGTCCATAGTCTCTGACCATCCCTTGTAGCACGTCCATAGTCTCTGACCATCCTTGTAGCACGTCCATAGTCTCTGACCATCCCTTTTAGCATGTCCATAGTCTCTGACCATCCCTTGTACCGACCATCCTTTGTAGCATGTCCATAGTCTCTGACCGTCCCTTGTGGCACGTCCATAGTCTCTGACCGTCCCTTGTGGCACGTCCGTAGTCTCTGACCGTCCCTTGTGGCACGTCCGTAGTCTCTGACCGTCCCTTGTGGCACGTCCGTAGTCTCTGACCGTCCCTTGTGGCACGTCCGTAGTCTCTGACCGTCCCTTGTGGCACGTCCGTAGTCTCTGACCGTCCCTTGTGGCACGTCCGTAGTCTCTGACCGTCCCTTGTGGCACGTCCGTAGTCTCTGACCGTCCCTTGTGGCACGTCCGTAGTCTCTGACCGTCCCTTGTGGCACGTCCGTAGTCTCTGACCGTCCCTTGTGGCACGTCCGTAGTCTCTGACCGTCCCTTGTGGCACGTCCATAGTCTCTGACCATCCCTTGTGGCACGTCCATAGTCTCTGACCATCCCTTTTAGCACGTCCATAGTCTCTGACCATCCCTTTTAGCACGTCCATAGTCTCTGACCATCCCTTGTACCGACCATCCTTTGTAGCATGTCCATAGTCTCTGACCGTCCCTTGTGGCACGTCCGTAGTCTCTGACCGTCCCTTGTGGCACGTCCGTAGTCTCTGACCGTCCCTTGTGGCACGTCCGTAGTCTCTGACCGTCCCTTGTGGCACGTCCGTAGTCTCTGACCGTCCCTTGTGGCACGTCCGTAGTCTCTGACCGTCCCTTGTGGCCCGTCCGTAGTCTCTGACCGTCCCTTGTGGCCCGTCCGTAGTCTCTGACCATCCCTTATGGCACGTCCATAGTCTCTGACTACCATTTGTTCCACGTCTGCATTCTGATAATTTTCTATATTACCTCTGCTGAATATTATTGGTGACCCTTTGATGATGTCAGGGACTACACTTGAGGCCCACTACATCAAGTAAGTTCACCACCACTGACATAGCGTATGATAGACACTGATCCAAATTCCTTTGCAGTTCCCAGTCTGAGGTCTACAGGGGAAAGGCTTACAGCCCTGATGCAAAGGGCCCCTACCAAGTTAAATTCAAATGTCTACACTGTTGGCATAAACAAATACAATTCATTTTGGAATAATGGATACAGAGCCCCACTAATTGGTGCCTGACATATCTGCTTGGAGTTTCACTTTTCTACAAAATGAAAACCTTTTCAGCCATCAGTATAAGCTGACATGTCAGAACAAGGTTCATCTTTTATAGGACATAAAATCCATACCACCTCTAAATAAAATGCAGAGCTCTCGCCAGCGATCTGGGCATGCTCAGTACGAAAGGCACTTCATTTGGTAATGAAGCAATGTAACAAATACGAAATCTTTTGCTAATACTTTAAACACTTTTTTTTTTTCCTGTGAACTGTAGGAGATTCCCGGCATTGTGGAGTGATTGGCAAAGGTATAAAGTGAATGTATTTAATGAATTGTCTGTTGTGCCCATGGCAGGGTGCAGCTCAGGGCAGCGAGGCTGCGCACCTTATAAGCACAGTGTGTCTGTTGTGTTGGCGAATGGCTGTTACTTTGTGCAGCTAATTATTTCAGATAGAGATTGTATTAACTTTACAAGTCTGCAGGAATACATTTTTGAGGTCGGAATTTACAGTAGTTATCTCTACCTTTACCAATAAGACTGTCCCTATACTCCAGTCTAGTGACTTTGCCTAGGGTGAAATGTCATCAGAAAATTCCATTTTCTCTCCCCCAGTGATTAGTCTCAAATACTGTAGGGAAGAGGCTGCAGCAGGGGCTAATCTGTGTCAGACATTTGTGAACACAACCAAGAACTGCACAGGCACCAGAATTGGAAAGTAGCTGGTGACTCTGGATGATAAAAAAATAAAGATATACAGTGCTTAGCAATTTTGTTAGTTTGTAGTATTGAGGATTTGGTTTCATTGATTGCTTTGTAGTGACCCTGGATGCTGCCTGAACAAAGATGGTGCCGATGGAGCGAAAACGAGAAAAGCACTCTGAGGCTTAGATTAGGTTAAGGGGAGGTTCTTTCCTCCTGTCCACATGCGCCTCGTCAGTACATGCGAATGCAAGACACCTGATCGTTCACAAGTACTGCCTGCTGCCCAAAATGTTAAACAGTTAAGTAATTCAAATTCAGATATTTTTGATAGCTATATGATTGAAATAAAGTTAATATTTTTTTTTAAATACAATTTTTTTTTTTTTTTTAAATATCCATGTTGAGTTCAGAGAAACCCCCAGCAGCCCACAGTAGCACAGCAAATCTTCAGTACCAAGGCTCTGAGGGGTAAAGGGGGAAAAGGGTTTGTAACCTGCCTAGTTATTTGTTCCCACCAAGGATTGGGTGGCATCTGTCTGCCGCCATAGATGGGAGGTTGTTACCTGGTGTTAGATGATCAGACGCTTTTCATCTCACTTCACGGGCTGCTTTTCCTTTAGAAGGCGAGTACTCTCTCTCTTTTTTTTTTTCCTACTTTCACTAACCGCTTTTCAGGACAAGTTTTTAGGGATCTACCCCCTTCTAATGAATTTGCTAAAGCTTTGTTTGAACCCTCGAAGATGTGGAAGACCCTCAGCAGCTTGTTCTGAAAATTTAAGGCAGCCCTTCCTTAAAGCTGAAATTTAGTCTGCATAGCTGACCCCCCCCTTCCTTGGGTACCACCACTATGGCATATGTATATTGTAAAGCACTGAGCAAACTGGCGCTATATAAATCCTGTATAATAATAATAACACAGACCCCTCCATGATTTCTAAGTGGGAGAACTTGCAAAATCGCAGAGTGTTCAAATACTGCTGTTCCTCACTGTACTCACCGACCCTGTGTGGTTTTCAGGTCATGGCAGAGAGCCCAATTGCACATTTGCACATGCTCAGTGGATTTTCCATGCATGTGCAAAGATGGGGAAAGTTTCCGACTTCCCTGGTGTGCAACCCCACGCATGCGCAGATGCCTAGGAAAACCAGTGCATGCGCGGTATCTCACGGTAGCCAAGCCCTGTGGCACATCTGTGCAAGAGGCAGGTAGAAATTCTTGCTTCAGTGATAAAAAGAAAAGCATTTCTATTTCTAAGAGGAGGGTGGAGAAGGCAGGGCTGCACAACCTGCCCTTTAGGGTGAAGGTTTGCTTTAATAAACCACCAACGGGGAAACAGACTTGTATATAGA